TCATTTTCATCAGAGTCGGCTTCTGCACGGGTAGATGATTTTTGCTTAGACTCATTTGGCACTTTAGGCCTGGGCTTGGAAAGAAACTTGAGCCTGGCACCACCTGGTTTGTTGATTAATCTTTGGCTTAGTCTATCTTCTCTTGTGGTAACTGGGGTGTCTTTTGAGGACGAAGGTAGATGTTGGTCAACTGGAGAGGGTTTTTCTTCTTCAGATCTGATCGTAGGCTTGGCGGTACTCGGAGTAGGCGCCAAGGCTTGATTGGTACAAGGAATTGGCTCTTCATCTAGTTCTCTGGCTACTTTTGACATTCTCAAGAGCCGGGCTGAAGTTGGTTGGTCGAGACAGTCGACAAGCCTGGTTTCATGGTATTTCTCAACCAGCTTGGCGTAAACAAAGGCAGTGTCGTACGCACGAGACTCGGTGTGAGTAGCTGATTCGCTGTGGCAATTTTGGAATCTATTGAATAGACTCTTCACTAGCAATGCCATGGCGAGTGAAATATCTCTCATTTCGCTGAAAGCTGATCGTACTTCAGCAGGAATGTTAAGAGCAATTGGGTCTAAGCGACCATAATCCTCGGTCTCATCCTTGTCAACGCCTAGGATCTGATAGGTGTCGGTTTGGGTAGAGATTTCAGTGGCAACTGGGCGAAAGTCGCGATGGCGTTCAAAAGCTGAATGAATCTCCTCCGAAACTGCTTCCCTTATCTTATTAAGGTAATGAGCATTGTTCTCAGCACCCATAGCGGTGAGAAATGATGGAATGATTACAATTTCTGACTGGGCTTGGCCTTGGTCTGCTGAGTCAAGGCTTGTAGAAGGTTGATCTTGAGGTAAAGACGATGGATGATTAAGCTCTGTTGGCGAAACTAGATTCACTGTATCAGTCGCCTTGGCGTGAGGATCAGTCGAGTTGTCGCCTCGGTCAGTAGATGCACTATCATAAGAGGTTATAGGAATGTTTATTACACTTTCCTGGCTGAGTTTTTGTGGGGAAATAAACTGAACACTAGAGGTAGTGGACGAGGCAGCACTTTGTTTGGCAGAGTCACAGGCCTCGGCACTTTCCTGACTTGACGTTTTTTCCTCATTTTCTTCGGGAAGGGATATTTCAGGAAAGGTTCGGAAAGGATCACTTGATGGGTTGGTTTCAAATCTTTCTTCAGCTTCGGTGATGCCTTCAACCACTTCTTGAGTGGAAGGAGCCGAGTCACCTTGAGAAGCATTAGAGGTTGAGGTTGAGGTCTTGGGCGAGGACATTTTCTGAGTTAAAGGGGGTAATAGGCCTTGGCACTGGATGAATATACGTTTTGAAGGAGAGATTGAATATAAAAGGTAATGGCAGGGTAACGTAAAAGGTAAAATAAATTCAGTAGAAAAATTTTCCAATTTGGTTTTTAAGAGCGTTGTCAACAAAATGTTAAACTTCACGAGTTCAATGTAACAAAGGAAATGATTAATGAGAGCCTTAGACTGAAACATGAAGCTTTTGTTGTTTGCGCATGTGTGGTGATGAGGGTCGCCAAGGCAAGTTGCCAAGGCGAGAAGCCTGATGTCGCCTAAGAGAAGCTTAGGCAAGGATTTAAAGCAAATGACTGGCACTTTACACATGGTTGTGTGATAGTGATGAGGGTAAAAACATGATATAAAATATGAATGTAGATGTGATTTTTGATTGAATTGAATTCCGCGATTTTGTGTTGAAGGTTCATGGCGCTGTCGCTGTTGCTGTTTTTGCCTTGGATTAGCCATTGGATCGGTTAATTTGAATCAACTTACTGACTAGTTTGTCGCAGACTAGATTGAGTGGATCCGCCATGGCTTTTTGTAGACAGATCTTTACAGTATCTATGAATTGAGATGGGTCCATGTTGAATTGTGAGGTGAGAAGATCTCTTTCTGTCCTGGTAATATCACAAACAGTCGCGTAGTGTGTATTGTCGCCAGGCCTACTCCACATGGACATTCCGGGGTTGAGCTGATGTGGAACCTGTGTAGATAGTTACTGAAGGGGCCATGGCCAGTGATTAGCCAGATGGTGTGTTTCCTGAGGTCAAGTCCACTTGAGCTCATCCATCCAGGAGACAAGGTGTCTATAAGGAAGCTGTTCGATTTACTTTCTGAGTACCAGTCGTTGCATTTCTGCTGTACTTTATCTCTGACTGAGAGTTTGACAAACGAGCGAGGGACAAGATCGAACTTCACTTTCTTGTGTGCCAAGGTTGCTTTCTTGGCAAGCCTATCAGCGTGCTCGTTACCCTCATATTCCGCGTGAGCCTTAATCCAGAACACTTTGATACCGAAACCATCAGTTGTGAGGCTTTGAATTGTTTGCCTGGCTTCCTCAATTATGGTGCTTTGAGTGTAGGTTGATTGAATAGCTGTATAGACTCTGAGAGTCTGTGAAAATTTTGCCTTGGTAAAGCCTCGGCGCCTGAGTTTGCTAAGGCGACTTAATGCTGAAAGTAGAGCAAGGCTCTCGGCTTGGAATATGCTACCATAACGGTAGAGAGGTTCGCAAAGTTCATCGATGAGCTGGCCATTGTGATTGAAAAACAGGCACCGTAACCGGTTCCATCATCTGTTTTGCTACCGTCCGTGTAGCAGTAGATTGTATCTGGTCAGTTGTATCTAGAGATGCTGTTGATTAGCTCTAATCAGGCCTCCGATGTTAATTTTGATGTTCTCGCTGCTCTTAGATAACTGCTTGCTAACTCTTTGCTCAATTGCTCTGTCGCCTGGGATGTCTATCTGCGCCAAGTCGCCACGGTAGGTTATCCACTCTAAGTGTTGTCTTTCCATGGTCATGAGGAGAGACGTCGCAGGTGATACAAAGGATGCATATGGAGTTGTTGGTATACCAGTGATGAATAGCAGAAGTCGCCTGTGAAGGCTTGTGAGTGTTCTTCTCTTTGACTCTGAGGTGTTTGAAGTATAACTCTGACCCATATGTTATTTTGGGGATCATAACACAGTCATGGATTAATTTGAGCAAAGACAGTCTTGGCCTTGGCCATCCAAGGGAAGCCTTGGAAGCGAAGACAAGCTTCGTGATCTTTCCGCTTATATGACGTGCTTTTCCCAATTCAGTTTATCATCAATAGTTAGACCAAGAATCTTAATGGAGTTGACAAAGTCGAGTTCCTGGTTGTCAAGCTTGACAGTTGGTCGTTGTATCTGTTTCTGTCTGCCTGGAATCCACAGACATTTCGTTTTATTGATAGAAAAGCTAAGTGAAAATTCACGAGACCAGTCGTGTATTCTTTGTAACTCGGCTGCCAGGCGTTCAGATCCGACTGGTACGTAGATCTTATCCTGCCAGCGAGCGTAATATCATCGGCATATGCAGTAACTGATATTGCAGAGTCCGGAACCTGTATTAAGTACTCATTCAGAATGATGTTCCATAACGTTGGTCCTAGGCATGAGCCTTGAACTGTGACTGTTTTTAATTGTTGCGCTAGTGTTGCCAAAGATGAGTTCGGTGTGTCTATCTGTTAAATATGACCCGAGAAGCTTAGTGAATTCAGCTGGACACTTCCTCAATTTCAGCACTTTGAGTATATCAGACCATCCCACGTTATCAAAGGCGCCTTGAATGTCGAAGGAGATCATGAGGTTTGCTTTTCTCTGTTCGATGTTTGACTGAAACTCTTGCAGTATGGTCGCCAGGGCATCTTTCGTCGATTTACTTCTTGTAAAGCCAAATTGTCTGGGTGACATGATCTCTGTAAGCCAATCATCCAACTTGATTAGAACCAGTTTTTCCAAAACTTTGCCAAGCTGTGGTAGAAGTCCTATCGGTCTACATGACTTTGGCGACGCGGCGTCAACCCCAGCCTTGGGTATCAGGACTGTGATGGAGTGTTTAAAGCTTTTCGGGAAATATGACATTTTAAGGCAGGCGTTGTAGGTTGCATAGTCTCTCAAGCGACTGACTAGGTAGGTATTGATAATCTCTGTTGTTGCCCGTCTGGGTGCTTTCCTCGAGCCGAAGGTACTGATCAGTGCCTTAGCTCATGAACTGTAAAGGAGGTAGCGTACATGTTGGGAGAATTAGTTGACGCCAAGGTGACACCACTTGACTCGTCAGTCCCTCGTTGTTACTTGTACCAAAAAGTATTTGACGAAGAGTCTGCTAGGTTCTGATCACCTGTAATGATCCTATTCTCGTGTTCAATAAGTTTTGTTGTGGGCGCTCTTGATCTTGATTTAATGATCTTGTAGTAGGACTCCCATGCCGAGTCCTGGACGCCTCGGCGAAAAGTCAGCCCAGTATTGTCGCCTTGCTGTATCTATCATATGTTTGATCTTGGAGTAGGTTGTGATCCAGTCACAGAAATGCTTATGATCTGGGCGACGATCAGTATTTCCTACGACGTGCTTTACGAAGGGTGGCAGATAGGGCGTCGATTTCGCTGTTCCACCAAGGGAATGGTTTGATTTTAGTCGTGGTTTTCTCCTCGGCTCCGGCCGCGGTGAGACAATGGTTGATCGTGTCGTAGGCCTTGGCTATCCAATTGTCAAGCTGTTCGGTATCGTTAACTGGATTCGCTATATCTGGAAGATTGATTGCCACCAGGGTTTTGAAACATGGCCAATCTGTCTGTGAGAGATTCCATGTTTTCCGGGAACAGGATTTTTGTTGCTGACGTTTCTCATGTTGCTTAGAGTGTAGTGAATTGGTTGATGGTCTGAGGCGATATCAAGCGGGCCAAGTCCCAGTCATTGACTAGGTTAACCAGGTCAGGCGTTATCAGTGATAGATCTATGTTTGATGCGAAGCTAGATTGTCCTCTGACTGTTATAAAAGATGGGCAGTGCTTAGAGTAAAGGGTGAAGAGTGAGTGGTTACTAATCCAGTTCATCAGCTCTTCTCCTCTGGCGTTGGTTATGCTATCCGCCCAGGCGACCGACCTGGCGTTGAAGTCGCCTGAGATGATGGTTCTTTCGTGAATATACCGGTTGAGCAAGTTGAGCTTCATAGTTTCTCCCTAGGTGGACAGTAGATGTTGATGATGCGTACATTGGTTGATTTAACATCTGTGATTGTGATGCATGGACTTGTTTGGGTGACAAGGCTTATGTCAAGCGTTTTGTTGAGTACTACGGTAACTGAACCTGGTGCTGCTTCAGATGAAGTGTAGTAGTACCGAATTCCGGAGCTGGTCATAATTTCGACCTTGGCGGTGGCTCTTGTATAAGTAGAATATCGTATCTGCTCGTAATGGCGTTGTGAATTAGTGAGTTATAACATGAATATGTTTTGGCAACGTTGGCCTGGAGAACTCTGATACTCTTATGAGATTTCTTTTCTTTTTTACTGTTTAGATCCATAATCAGTCATCGACTTGGCGATAGACCTCATTCTATTGGCGACTAGGCATTTGCTGGAGAAAGTGTGATGGCTGGTATTGATTTTTCTGTTTTCGGATCGTATGCCTTCGTTGTATTTCATGCAATTGTAACATTTATGTTTCGACATGTCTCCTTTTACAGGACAGTCAGTACTTCGATGGTTGTCTGTGCAATATCCGCAGATTGTTTTTCGCCATCCTGATTGCACTTGGATGCCATGTGCCCGAAGCCTTGGCATCTGTAGCATTGTCTATGGCTGGAGTAGCTGAAGACCGGAAGCTTCCTGAATTCAGTTTTAATGGTTTTCCTGCGCATTAACTCTTGATACAAGTCAGGCTCGCAGGTGAATACGGCAGCTGTTTGCCTGTATCCGCGTTTTCGGAGAAAGGCTGGTTTGAGAGCTCCATGGCGCATTGATGGTATTTCACTATTGAGGTCGACGATTTCATTGATGAGGACTTCAGCTGGCTTGTCGTCGCCGACATCTGGAATTCGAATGAGCGGGTTTCTTTTGGTCATCGCCTTGGTCTCCAAGACTTTTTGTTTCTCTGTTTCCTTTCGGATTTTGTCAGTATCCTCTATTTTCACAAATAATAGCTACTCTGGATCCTGATAGTCTTTGCAGAGAAGCAATCGTTACGCCTAGGCTGCGAGGACTAATTGTGTCTCTGATGTACTTTAGTAGTTCATCGCCGGTGACTTCCGGATCTTTGTGTTTAACAATAAAACATGTTCCATCAGTGGGTAGAGGCCTACCGGGCAAGGCTTTATCGTTAATTATCGGGGTTCTACGCCTGTTTTGGTTAGGGGCGCTAACCTGACTTGGCATCGCTGCTTTCTTACTATAAGTGCCACGTCTCTCGTTGTTGTGACCTTCGTTCGAGTTAGAATACACTCTATCAGGTCTTCCTCTTTGGCGTTGAGTGAGCGGTGGAAATTCCTCAGTATTTAGTGTACGACCATTGTTGGTTTGATCACCCGCCTGGTCAATTAGTTTTTCCAATTCAGATATGTGGTACTTTAGATGTTGACTAGTCTTCCTTTCGAGTTCGTAGAGAGACTTGTAGTTTAGTGAGTCCTTAGATTTAGTGGCCTCAACTGTTGTGACTTGGCGCGGTGACTTAGCCGTATTTTCTGATGTGGCTGTAGATGACGTAGCTTTCGCTAATGCTTCAGCGATAGCCCGGGCTTGCCTCTCGTCTTCGACTTGTAATTCGAGATCATTGTTTCTAGCTTTTAGGTCAACAATAGTCTGCTTTAGGCTAGCGATTTCGGAAGCAGCTTCATTCGATGTGACGCTAAGTCTCGGTGACTTGGCGACTGAGGTCGCGAATGTTCTTAGTTTGACCTTGAGTTCCGTAATACTTTTTTCGATAATCTCTTTAGCTGTTTTTGTAGCATCTATAATAGGGACTGACTGGGCACGATCTTTAACTACATCGGCAACACCTCCGAAGGCCGACAAGATAGTGTCAAAAATTTGCTCCATTGACTCTACCATGTCTTCGCTATTACTGGTCGCACGTATGTTAAACAGGTCAGCCCTGGTTCCACCGATGCTTGGGACATTTCTAGTCGGTTCTACAGGAGGTCTAAGACCAAAAGTCGTAGACTTGGACTTCTCTTTGCCAATATGGAGCGTAGGCGCCATGGCGATTCAATGGGTTCCAATACCCTTGTAAAGGGATAAATTGGACCCAAAAATTAAAACGATTGTAGCTCAGGCCACAAGTAGAATTTCAGAGATCTGACTTTTTAAAAGTGACGAGGCGACCTTTAAAGATAATAATTTTATAAAAACTGATTTAAAAATTTAATTAAAATATAAAAATAATTAATTAATTAGGGAGCAAGAAAAGGTGGGGTTCACCTTCTTAAGACAAAAAACCGATTGGTTAGGTTAGGTTAGGTTAGGTTAGGTTAGGTTTTTTTTTTTTTTTTTTACGGGTGCAATAAAACTCTTTATTGGATGCATTGTCTGAGCCTTAAGGCCCAGTCTGGTTACATATTCTTAATTTTTACAATCGTTCGATCGATGGATAGGAGCGGTCTTATTGATAATAGAGGTTTTAGGTTGGGAGGGGATGAACGATCGATCGGTCGATCGACGGGGAATTACAATTAGGTTGAAAATGATGGATGGGTTACATAAATAGGAGTTTATCGGAGGGGTTATATTGGTGATCGATCGATGGATGGAATGATGATAAGTATTTGAGTTGTTGATCTTTGAATTCCTCCATTGATCCTTCGATAGATTGATGGTTGCGAAATAGATTTAAGTTTGGGATTTGTGGAAGCAGTGTTCGACCTTTCGATGAATGGATGTGTACTGATGGGGCCTTGGATTTTGTTGATAGGGTGATCGGTGATTTATCATTCGATTGATTGATGTTTACATAATAAGTTTAAGTTTAGGATTTAAGAAAGCAGTGTTCGATCTTTCGATGGATGGATGGTTACTGATAGAGCCGTGGATAGTTTTGCTGATAAAAGTGATCTATGGTTGATCCTTCGATAGATTGATGGTTGCGAGATAAGTTTAAGTTTGGGATTTTTAGAACCAGTCTTCGATCTTTCGATGGATGGATGATTGCAAGTAGATCCATGGATAGTATCTACCGGTAGGTGATCTTGGATTGATCTATCGATAGAGTGATGGCTTTCGGAATGCTGGAGTTTCAGAATTTTCTCATTCCTCGATCTTTTGATAGGTAGGTGGAAAGAATAATGGATAGATTGATGGATGGATTGATGGATGAATTGACTGATAGCGGAACAGATTGATAAATGAATGAACGGATGTACAGATAAATTGATAAATAGATGAATAGATAGATAAATAGATAGGTGATGGATTGATCGGTGTTAATGGATGGGTGAGCAGAGGGATTAACTAGTGAGTATTGAAAGAAGGTGCTAGATATTAGAGTGTTTTGATTTGTTTTCGTTTAACTGATGGTTCCTTCGATAGATTGATGGCTGTGTAAATAATTTAAAGTTTCAGTATCTGGTTTTCTGTTATCGATCTTTCGATGGATTGATTGATGGCTGGATTTTTTTGGAAAAAGATTAAGTTTCGGGATTTGGTTTTCTGTGGTCGATCATTCGATAGGTGGATGACGTTAGAAAGATGGTTTTGCGTTTTGGCTTTTCTAGTCAGTCAGATGGATTTGTGTGAAATAGATGAGGTTGGATGATTTGATTTTTTCTGTTGGTAGCTTAGCATGATACTGTTTGGTCTAATTAATCTAACTACATGGGTGTGTAAACGTTCATGTGAATTGGCCGTAGTCTGTTCTTTCTTCCAAATTTGCTATCATTTCTTTTCTGATTTGACATTCGTTCGATGTTGCCATATGATTGGTGTCTAGATTACGGTTGAAAGCAGAGTTACGGCGACTACAGTTGGCACAGTTGATGTTCTCGCTTATGCACTCTGATCCTTCGTGACCTTCTTTTCCACATTTGTAACATTTTGGTTGATAGTTGTTTATTGTGCAATACTTCGATGTATGTCCAAATCCACAGCATCGGTAACATTGAATTAGGTTTTTTATTGGCTCTACCAAGAATCTTGTCCATCCAATTGATATTCTTTTTGTTTCCATTATCATCCAGTAGATTTGATGTGGTAATTCTACTATTATGTGCTCTTTCTGATGATACTTTTCGGCATTATTATCTCCGTTGTATTGCCTGTTACGAATGCGGATCCTTGTTCGTATTTTTATTTGCCGTATTACTTCGTCTTCAAGATCTCGTTTGATGCATTGCACAATGAGGTTATCTACTATTTCTTGGTTGCTAATGTTAACGTCAACGTGTTTGATAATGAGACTTGGGTTCCTTTTCATTGATTTTTGTGCTTCCAGATTGTCAAATTTACCATTGATTATTGTCATTGTATCAGTAGCTTCTTTCGCTTCATTAAATTTCAATATCATTCTATTGTTGCTGATTTTCTTGACGCCATAGGGGTAAATGCAGGTTGACTTTGGGTTGATCGATTCTTTGACTGTTTGTTCAATTGGTCGATCGATCGATGGATCCTTGTGACTGACTATCACTGCATATGTAGGTTTGTTTATTCCAATACTGTCGTTATCATTTATTGCTTGTTTTTGAGCCCATGGTTTGATGGGAGGTTGTACGATTTTTTCTTCGATTTTACTAAGCCCCTCTATCATTTTATTGTTGACTTCGACGATTGTGTTCACAATGGTACTAGATATCATAGGGATGCTTTTTGTAAGTGTTGCCAGGCCGTTGTTCATACTTTCGATTGATTTAGTAAATTGCGAAGAGTGTTGCTTTTCCAGTTCAGCTTTTTCTGCCATCCATTTAGCTTTTTCGTCGAGGTGATCTTGCGTTTTCTGTGCTTCCAATACAGTGTATTTACTGATTGCTGTACAGAGATGTTCGATTATTGCAAGTGCATTATCCATGTTATTGTTGATACCGCTCTTTAGGTGTGTGTTGATATTTTTTGCAGTTTTGCTTTCGAGGTAAACTTTGAGAACTGAATTGTCTTTTCTAAGATTTTCAATATATGTATCAATATTTTGTGTGTTGATTATACCAGCTCTTCTAAAGGTATGAGATGCATAATCGGTATCTTCCATGGTAGCTGCCTTTTTGTGTTTACGTTTGTGTGCTGTTGATGATGTTGGTTGTATATCAGGTGAGGGAGTTAATTCCAGGTCTCTTTTTGATCTTATAGGTGTGTGATATTCGTCTATTTCTGTTTCGTCTGAATCATACGGTTGTTGAGTTTGTTTTGACATTTGTTAGTGATGATGTTGATTGATGGATTATGTAGCGAGCTATCGATCGATTGATTGATGTTAATTATGTTTTTATAACTTGTTGCCGTTTTAGTATTTATATCATATGTTCGTTCGATCAATCGATCGATTGATTGATAGATGGCCGTTCACAGTGCGGTGAGCACGTTTTTCTTAATTAGTTAATTAATTAACTTTTTGAAATGAAAACACTTAATTATGATGCACTGATGTTGGAGAATGATAATTGAAGCACTTTTGATGAAGAAAAATGATGTAAATTGATGCAAATTGGAGAAACACATATGCCTATTGGTAACTTGCCATTGCTGGCAAGCGGAAACACAAATTGATCTAAATTAGATCCAGTTCACTTTTTTTGGTAACGAAACTTATTCAATTGTTGAGCTACGATGTTTAGATACACATTTATAACAAAAAATTTTAGTAAAAACAAATATTAATTAGTAGCAAAGGTAATTAGTAGGAGAGCAAAATTTAGAGATGTTACCCCGAGGAACGATCGATCGATGGTTAGGTTAGGTTAGGTTAGGTTAGGTTAGGTTAGGTTAGGTTAGGTTAGGTTAGGTTAGGTTAGGTTAGGTTAGGTTAGGTTAGGTTAGGTTAGGTTAGGTTAGGTTAGGTTAGGTTAGGTTAGGTTAGGTTAGGTTAGGTTAGGTTAGGTTGGTTAGGTTTTTTTTTTTTTTTTTGCAAATGGTTCCAGGTTCGTACAGACCTTACAGTTGTTGATTAGTAAGTAGACTCTCTGCCCGTTACCGGCAGAGGTTCGTAACTGCGTTACGTTACAAACATCGTACTAGTACGTGCGTACAAAGTTAACAATTTGCTTTTAGAATACAATATTATAAGTTTGATTGAGGAAGGGCAACCTACGTGCGTATTTGGGTTACATAAGTGATTAAGTGAAGTGCTAGTGTTTCTCTACGCACTTCGTAATAC